AGCTTGCCTGATGTTTCTCCACAACCAAATCCTGGTTGTGTTTACTCAGAATTAAGACCCACTGAATTCAAAGGGATATGCTATTCCTCATAAGTGTGCTTAAAGTTACAGATTTAATTATCTAACCTCCTACTCTTGTAGCAATTTACTAATGTAATACTGAGATTAAATAGACTCTGTTATGTCACAGTGTTGGATCCTGTCTTAGTCATGCTTAAGAACAGACCCACAGTCATCAGTGGGGTTCCGGTTACAACAAAATCTTGCTCTAATCCATAGTTGGAAGTTAAAGTCCAAAATCTTGAGAGGGAACCAGTGTGGGAAAAGCTGCCTTATAGCACAACAGACCCCTTTATTGTAAAATGCACCAAGGGGAGTTGAGGGAAGTTTTACACTGTGATAAGCTTTTGTACTCACTTGTGCATAGATACATTAAGCAGAAGGTTCCTTCATCTACCTGGGCTCAGAGACACCCAGCCGGCCATTGATGCAATCTCAGGTGCCAGGCTTGTAGAAAAAGCAACAAAATTGTTAATTCCAAGCTTTCCCCCTCTGAGCCCAGGGCATTAGAATGGAGACTCTTCCCCTTTTAAGTTGTACTTAAGTCCTACTTTTGGCCTTTTGTTTGATGGATGGAAGATAAGATAATGCTGCCCACTTGGTCTCCCTCCTCCACATCAAATTTTCCTTCTTGAAGATCTAATAGTAATAAAGCTCTTGCTCTTTTGCAATATACCTTGCTTTGCAAGATAAATAATTAGACCGATGCAAGGATTGAAAGTAACCGAGATCATCTGCATTACAAATGAATGGCTACTTCTGAGAAACGCAGTCATGGGATCATCCCCAGTTCCTCAGAATCTCTTAAGGAGGAAGCTCACTGAGAGAGCAACCTCTTCTTCCAAAGCATGCTGCAGGTTCCATGAAGGCTGTTTCTTTTCAGGCGCAATAGGTGGGCTTTTGAGCTACATTCAAAGCACTTGCATGCAGACCTTTCTGTCTGCATTGCTACCTCTCGCAAAGCAAATCTCCTGAGTCTATTTCCACATGACACATCTTCCTAAAGTGCACATCTCTAGCAATGGCTTTTCTGCAGCCATTGTGGGCATTTCGAGTTGGTTCAACTGTAGAGTCCCAACGCTTACCACACTACTCCCAGAACGTTTGGAAAGTCTCTAAAGCTTTTAAGAGATGGGGAAAGTGGGGGGAGGAACTGTTGCATGCTCTTTGTAGAGGAGGCTGACCACAGTTCACTGGAACCAGCCTGATCAGGTAAATAAAATGAAAGTGGACATTTCAAGAAATTATCTTGAAAGCTTTCCATTAGACTGTGCCAGGGGTATTCAGTAACAGCCAAGTAACCAAGCTGGTATAGAACAACTCTGTGCTAATCCTAATACACACTTCTTCCAAATATTGTATTTGTACCTATTTAGCTGCTTCATTTGCTATTTAGTAAAGATCTAAGGGAGGAAAGTCATATTTGCCAGACATACACTTATGTGAAAACCAGAAGACCATTCTCAGGCACCTAGTAGGAAGAACTGCTCATCCTGGTCAATGAAATTACTTCAATCAACTACAAGGCCAACAAAGCCCCTGGAGGCGGCACGGTGGCCAGGACCATTTTCTAAAATGGCAGATTTAAAGGCAACATTCAGGTAGCAAAAAAGATATAAGCTTTTTTAGTATATCAGATCAAAAGCACAGCAGTGCACAAGCATAATGCCCCAGTTCAGAGTGTCTTAAAAATAGCAGTGGACTCTGTGCATGAGTCTGTCCTGGCTAATCTTGAAAGCTAAGCAGAGTTGGGCCTGGTTGAAATCTGGATGGGTGACTTAAAATGTTGTGAACTTCCCAGAAAGCTTTGGCTATGGGTGGTATAGAAATGTAATGTAGTACAGTAATATTAATAATGAGGTTCTTCCTGAAAACCAGATTGTGATGGGGTAGGTAAACTTGTGGCTGTCTAGATGTGTTTGGATGGCAAGTTCCATCACCTTGCCTCACCTGTTGGCTCTTGATAAGAGCTACAGCCCAACAATATCTGGAGGCCCACAAATGTCCCATGCCTGCCTTATACAGTAATGAATACCTATTGGAGAACAAGGACAATCAGATGCTCAAATTATTGCCTTCCTATATTCCACTGTATTGTCATGAAACCCGGGCACAATTAAGGGTTCTAGATGTAGGTTTGGAATCTTTTTTTTTTTTTATAGAGCACTTTGGGCAAGACTCGGTGCACATGCAACAGGAAGTTAGCAGTTCCTAAAACAAACAGAAATGAGCCACAACAGTGATTTCTGAAATGCACTGGAACAGCAGAGCTTGCCGAAGGGTGCCCCATCACTCTGTGCATTTCTGAAACAAGTGTTTAGGCTAGTTTCCAGGGTCATTTTAGGAAGCACTGGCTTCCTGTTATGCTAGTGAATAGCTGCACAGGTGCAAGAAATAAGCAGAGGTGCTCAGCAGTCTTGTATATTGTCCTTCATTCATGTAGAAATGACTTAGCTCATCTGCCTTGGCCAGCCTGTGTGAGATTTCTTTTTCACCCATGTGATAGTTTCAGTCTCAGGAAGGCATAACAATCAATATGGTATTATTTTCCATACAGAACACCACCCCACAAATTGCACATCTATACCATCTATGGATATTAATGGATCAGGGAAACTATTTCCCTTTGCTTTTAAAAGCTTGTTTTTGAGGTTGGGCAGGTCTTGGTAATTCTTGGTATATAAAAACAGCACAGTCCTGAAACATTCTGCTCCCTGGAAGTTATGCCATCAGTGGGATGAGAATTGCATGAAATAAAATGAAAGTTTGGGGCTGAATCAAAGATTATAATTTACATTAACCAGCAAACTTGAGCCCAGAACAGATTGTTCAGATCAGCTGATTTTGCATTCATAATAAGGGCAGTAGCTTCCCCTGTGCACAGGTACAAGACAAGCGCAATGAATAGACCAAGTGCCAGATTTGGGGAAGGACTGTAAAAAGGTAGCCAAGCCTTGCCTTTTTAAGGGGCCCATTTATCTGCTGCTATTTAACTGCGGAGATCAGCCTGTTCACATAAATCAGGCAGAGGAGCAGCAGCTGCAGGAAACTTACTTCTTCCCTGTCAGAAGATTCCAAATTGCACGTCGCCTGGAACTGTAGAGCCATGAGGAAGGAGTGGCTAAAGAAACAAGAGCTGCCTACTGCCATGTGTGCTAGAAGATCATCCTAGCCTGGATATAAATGGTTTTGAAGAACATTTCTTTCTCTTCCCTGTGTCTTTCCATTTTTTACAGCAGAACGTAAGAGAGCCACTTGGGAAGAGTGTAAATATTTGAAAAGTGGGTGGCAAGGTGTTCCAATGAACCCCATGACTAAGAAGGTATCTGAAGCCCTAGCTGAAGACTAGCACCCTATCCTGGCTCTCTGATTTATTGTTGCAGTATCTGTTGCATAAAACAGAGGTAGAACAGTGCTGACTCTAGGTTACAAATTGGGAACATGGACCACTCCTAGGATGTTTCATGCCAGGGATGGTTTTCTTTGGTGGGGGGAAGCTACCAAGCTTAAAGCGATTCAGGTCTGGAAACATTCTTGGCTCATGGCCAAGGCACACACATTTATTTGTGAACAAAAATGGCACCCTTTTATTAAATGTAAAGACACCACTTGAAAAATTCATAAGATCTGTTTCACACATAAGGAATTCAACCAGAAAAGTGTATAGCAGAAAAAATGACAAAAGATTTGTTCTTACAGTTGATAAAAAATTTATACCAAGGCATTCAAGTAAAGTTACTTTCTGTGTTCTGATTTAATGAATCGTTTGAGCTGTATCTGGCTGGGGTGACACTGATGTAAGGTTCATTGAAGCCTGATCTAATGCTTATTGGTATAGCCTTCCTTGGGACAACAGAAGCTGAACAATGTGTCAGACTGAAGCAAGATCAAAGTAAGTGCAGTTCTGGGGAAGCTCTGAGGCTGGCCTACAACACATCACCATCTATGAATGGCTGGTGAATGCATTCTGCATCCTATAGACTCCAATGACCCAGCAAGCCCAAAAGAAGCAGAAGCAACTGAGTGATAATAAAGAGCCCCCAAAACAAGATTTTTTGAAATCCTGAGATGTGAGCTTGAGAGACAAAGCTTGCTTGATGGTTTTGACTCTGCTAAAAGGCAGACCATGGCACATTTCTAAAGGCACCAGTGATTCCTCTTCATTAAAAAAAGAAAGGAAAAAGAAAGGAGAAACAGAAAAATTAGAAAAGTCAGAGCAACCAGTACTGATTTATAAAATACTGCTGGCTTTACAAAATGTGTTGATGCTGTAAAATATATTTCCCTGGTATTTAAGTGGAAAGGGCATGCTCTACGAAAAAAGCACAGCACTGATGTTCTATCCCTCTCCCTTCTGCTCCCATTGAGGAGGTATGACAAGTGATGCACAATCTTGTGACCAGGAGGAAAATGGCACCAGTAGCCATTGTATAAGCCTGTGGGACGTTGTTTCATGTTCACAGATATCTCTGGTATTCACTGGCACTGGGTTTGGTTCAGGTATGTAGCATTAGCTATACTTTTGTAGCATGCACTACAAAGTCTGCTCAGTTATTTGGAGAACAACTTAAGGAATTAATCTGAAAACAAAGTTCAGTTAGAATACTTTTCTACCTATGTGGTTCCCAGGCCATTCATTCTAAAAGAATGAAGATCTGTAGTTGCAATGACATTTCTGATTTAGCAAGGCTGAGTTACAGATTGGTCTTACTAGGGCTTACATGCAGAATCTGCTTTGAAAGATACAACCTAGGCCGAGAAAAGAAGAAAACAGCCACAGGATGATGCAGAAAAGTCAGTTCTCATCTGAGAAATAAAGTGCTGACTAAAATTCAAGGGGAGAACATACATGTAATCCAAACAAGCCTGTTCAATATATACAAGAGAATGCATAATTCAAGAGACACAAACGTATAAACAAAATGAGCTTCAAAGGTGTTTTGTTGAGCGCGTATAGCTGAGACCAGTTACAGCCCTGTGGCCATTCTGCTTTTTACACACTGTATGTTAACACTTCACACGAGGCACTTTAGAATTTGCTGTACAGAGAAACAGAAAGCAAGCAAGAAATTACTCAAAATCCATAGTACAGAATGAAGTGGGAAGATGATGCCTGACAATGCAGGTTATGTGATCATTCTCCCTTTCTCCTCAACCACAATAAATTAATAAATGGGAGCTTTAGAAATTTTGGATACAGGAAATGTGTTTTGTCTTGCTTCCCTTTTAGTTCTGATGGTCCCAGCGCACAATCAAATGGGACAGGATACAACCACTTCACTCCAGTTAAGCATTTCTGGAACTGGTCAGTACTTTGATGGGACCACCCCATGGACATAAACCTAACTTTCATCATGTAAGAAAAGCAAGATATAAAAGTACTAAATAAATAAAATATGACTGTTATGGAGGGGAGCAGGGGTACCTGCTTACCTTCTCTCTCCACCTCAGCCTCCATCTCTAAGCCAACAAAATTAGCTAGCCAAATCAGGTTCTACCACATGGATGGTTTCCTAATGGTTAGTTCCTGCCTGTGGCAAGCGCCATTGAGTCCAAAGGAAGTGAGTGCCCTAGAGCAGTGATATGATATGCAAACCAAGGTACACTATGGGCAGAACTAGTATCAGGTTCTCTTGTTCCCTTTGAGCAGTTTAAAATATTCAAAATCGTCATGGCTATGAAAATGTCCATGACCTCTCATCCCCTGATCTCTTAACAGTCAAGCACAAATTTTCTTCAAATACATTGTGAAGCTGAAAAGCAGCTGATGCTGAACCTGTCCGTTCAGTGGAGAATGAATCTGGTTATTTTGCCATGAGGGGAGTGCTTTCATGTCCCACATGGCATTTAAGGGTAGACCAGGCGTGTACACCCTGTGCCACACCAAGCCAGCACAGGATCCTTGCAATGTAAGCCAACCCATGAGGGAAGCCTGCCTTGAACTACAGAATGGGGTTGGGGTACCAAGTGTCTGGCAGGTCTTAGTTCAGAGCCATGGTTTGTGTTAAGCTCGGTTGGTTGGCTTAAAGTTCTGCAGGCCAGACTAGGTCACCACCAGTTACAGCCTCAGGATGCTTCCCCCCAGGGGTCAGATCTCATGAGTATTCCAGATGCTGGTGACACAGTCAGTCACATTCTCTTTGACTCTTCACCCCGCACCCCGTTCTAGTTTCTTCCAGTCTTCTCACCTCTGCAGCTGTTGACAGGAGAATCCATCAAAGCTTCCAAATAAGGAAGTAAGAATATCCCTATTTCACATTAACAAAACAATCACTTGGCAGTATTGTAGATTCTTTAGTACAGTTATGGTGTCTCTAGGAGTGAGAAACCTTATTTTTGCTTAAGGGCTGAATTTAATTTCAGACTAACTCCTGTGGTGGGTAGGGCTGGGTATGGGGACGCACGCAAAGAGGCCAAAACATGGAAAATACAAAAATGCGAGTTTATTTTAGCTTAAAGCCAGGAAACCACTGAATAATTTGTGGTTGGCAAATAAAGGGCGAGGCCACGGGAAGGGGATAGGCCATCTAGGAAACCCCAGAGGCCAGACTGAGATCCCTGGAGAGCTGGATTTGGTTCACAAGCCTGAGGTTGCATACCCTGCTCTAATTCTGAATAGTATGATGAAAGATTGGAAAGAAATGAAATCCACCAGAGTACTTACACAGACAACAACACAACAGCAATTAGGATCCATACTGGAGCTTTGTGGATAATATTTGTGTTCGTTAGCCTGAAGGAAAAAAAAAGAAAAAAGGCAAAGCTAGCATTAAGAGTTGCAGTTATTTCTGAAGCAGTCAGAGCACAATGGATCAGCTTTGCTCAGATGATAAATCAAAGGGCAGAATACATTTTAATTTCTCTTGTCCTAATGCACCGTGAGCCGAATAAATATTTCTGTACAAAGATAAATGTTTTAAAGTAATACCTCCATGCCTACCTTTCCATTATCAAACAGGAGACCCAGCAATCCTACAAGTCAGAAGGAACACCCCCTGCCATCCCGCACCACAACATACAGAGATGTCTGAATGCTGGACACAAAACTCCTGAAAGGCTAAATCAAATGAAAACCACAAGTCTACTCTGTGGAATCACCTCTATGCCTAAAGTGGTAAGAATGTAATGAGCATAACAATACCATCTGCTATCTCCAGTTTCCAAATGTAATAAAATTATCAGATATGTGTAATTACCCAGTGAGAGCCAGTGTGGTACAGTGGTGAAGAGCATGGATCTGGGGTTCAGGAGGTCTGGATTTTAGTCCCCACTCAATCATGGAGCCAACTGGGTGACTTTGAGCCAGTCACAAACTCTCGGCCCACCCTACTACATAGCGGTGTTGTTGTGGGAATGTGGGGAATGAGAGCAGGAGGAGAATGTTATAAGCTGCTTTGAGTTTTTTGTAAGAAAAAAGGCAGGATATAAATCTAACACATAAATAATAAATAACCACACATGGTTTTCCAGCTACAGTAGAAGGGCAAGGATTTAGCAGAACAGAGGAAACAGCAGTGCCCTCTGCTGTTTGATAGCAATTTTAACTTTCAATCACTAACTTCCCCCATGGCTTTCTTCACTTTCTTCTATCTTTTCCACGCAGTTATTTTTTTTTTCTCAAAATTGAATTCCTAATATGGCACAAAACCATTTAGAAGAGGTGGAATCCAGAATGCAGTGTATTTTCAAAATTAACTTTAGCCTCTTACATTTAACACCAATTAGGCAATATTTGTTTTATATACCTGATTGAGTTATGGCACATACTATGCAACTTTCATTAAGGAGGTAATCCTGCTTGTGCCTACTGGGAACTAAATGCCATTGGTGGATTTCACAGAATTTAAGTGCATTCCAGTTAGAATTCCCCTTTTCTGAGGATATTAAGATAACAAAGTTTCTGGAGGTAGTGGGGAAAAGACTCCTGCATGTACAGCGAACGTAGTTGCTAAATGATTCTACCTCCCGGCTTTGCAAATAAGAGCCAAAACAAAGGCTGAAGGTCTAGGCTCAATACTGATGACAGCACTAAACACTTATGAAGAAATGGCTGATGGAATCATCCTGACAGGCAATTCATATGTAACCTTCCAGCTAATCTGCCTTCATGAGCCACAATGGAAGAGACAGGTCCAAAACCACTGGGGAGAACTCTGTCAAGCAGCAGAGAAAAGCAGTTTTGTTTCATTGCCTCTGCAAGGAGCCATTATTGATCACGGCTCAAGGAGGCCTCGTGCTTGTACACAAATCGAGGGATGCAGTTATTTGTGTCAATTAACTCTCATTCAATGTCAGTATTGATTGGCAAGGTCTCAACACTAGTTGTTGCCATCAATACGCTACTGACAGCAGAGGAAGCCAGAAGAATAAACACGAATAATCTGCTCCACGGAACAGCAGAGAGCAGGCCAGGCACTGCCGTGTTGTTGCTCATTGGAAGGCGCAGCCAGGGCTCCACAGCTGGAACCCTTTGATTGCAGCATCAGTCCCAGAGCAAGCTCATCACCTGCACAATGGTCTGGAAGAAGCCATCTCAGACCAAAGCAAGCAACCTACAGGTGTGATGCCTTGAATAATAAGGAGCAGAGAAAGGGCAGCCACTTTCAAAAATAAGCCGTGTGTCAACACGGAGCCCTCAGAACAGAGAACAAAGCTTTCAGAGAACGATCAAGAGCACGTCCCACGTACAAATGGTTCACTAGTTCTATGTCTTGTCTGCAGGTAACACATGCTACTGCACTCTCTTTCCCTCACCAAAACAGAAGTTAACAGGGTGGAAAAAGATACTTTCCCCCCTGAAAGTGAATTTTGTGTTCATAGTTAGTGCTGCGTTTGCACTCTTAGGCAACAAGCATGCAAAAAAGCTACCAAGCCTGTGGTTGCACATATGAAGCATGCAAGCATCTCTGTGTTGCTGCCACCAGTGGAGGTAATGGTTGAGGTACAAGGAGCACCCCCTTGATCTGCACAGTCCAGGTGACTGAATTAATGCAGACCAAGTAGAAAGGCAAGGAATAAACAGGGTAAAGGAAGAGTTACGCCAACAAAATATAGGGATTACATACAGAAAACTGAAATGTTTGTGTACAGAACCTTCAGCTGCAACAGAGAAACAAGGCTGGTTCTCTTGATAAAAAACACACAATAAAAGGATGGAGGTCCATTAAAAGGCCATGTGATCACTTGTTTTTCAGCATACCCCCTGGTTGCTCCTTGTACATCAGGGTTTGAGGGATAGAGGGAACACTATCTACCTTCACATTTTATTTTATTTTATTTTATTATTTTATTTGCTGTGCTGGCAGCAAGCAAAGTGGTAATTTTGCAAGGAGCATGCATCTTGTGCACCAGTAGAATTGTACTCCCGGGACACTTTTCATGCCTTCAAAGGTACTTTGTGTATTCTCAAAAATGGAAAAAACCAAACTAACTGCAACAATCATAGTTTGAGTAGTCATCAAGGACCCCACAAAACTACTCACAACAGACTGCAGACAGAGTACAGGTCACATTTTACTGATATCTGCTTGACATCCTGCTAGGTAAGAATGCCAAAGCTGGAAACAAACTAGGGAGTGGATATGTTCCATCAGTGTCCCCACAAAGGAACTGTACCAACGTTGGAAAATCACCAAGTGACCAATGGTTGAGGGAAGGGGGTGGGTCTATGAAAGAGGCAAGGGAATTCTGGGAAAACCCAGAGGTCCAAATTAGGGGCCCTGAAGGGCCAGATCTGGCACCCAGGGCTGAGGCTCTGCATCTGAGGCCTGGTGACTGAGCAAATTCAATTGTTGTTGCACCCACAGCCTTCATATGTCACCACTTCCTTTAAAGATTCTTATTGTTTGTTATTTTGCATTCATCCTCATTTTTTGTAAAACACTTTCAAGTGTGTTATCAAGCAGACAGACATGGTACAAGTATTTTTTAATAAATGTCACTATCAAATCCAACAGGGACAGTAATTGAGAATATAATATAATGAACAATTTATATGATGTTGGATTTTAAAATCGTGTTTTAATCTAGTTTCACAGTTGTTTCAGGGTGTAATCCAACACATATTTAGAAAGGAAAAAACCCTACAATTCCAAGCATAGTTGGTTGGGATATGCTAAGAATTGCAGATTTATTTATTGCCTAGATTTGCACAGGATTGTACCTTTCAAGTTTTAATATAGAATCATAGAATGGTACAGCTGGAAGGGGCCATGAAGGCCACCGGGTCCAACCCCCTGCTGTTGGAGGACACCACGTTACACCATCCCATTCAGATGGCTGTCCAGTTTATTTTGAATGTCTCTAGTGTGGCAGAGCTCACCACTTCTCTAGGCAGCTGGTTCCACTGTTGTATTGCTCTGACAGTGAGGAAGCTTTTCCTGATATCCAGTCTGAAGCCCTTGGTGATCTTTATAGAATGTTGGTATAAAATATTAATAAAATATTTTATTTTATTAATAAAATAAAATAAAAGAGGAACAACACCTGGCAGGAGAACAACACCTGGCAGGAGACCGCGCCCGCGCCCGAGAACCGCACCGTGCCCAAAGACCGCGCCGCGCACGCGCCCGAAGACCGCGCCGCGCACGCGCCCGAAGACCGCGCGAAGACTGCGCTGCGCCGCCGACTCCGCCGCTACCTGACTGCCCTGCCACGCCCCTGCACACGTGGCAGGTGTGCTCGGACGGGGTGGGGCATCGGGTGGCCGGCGGCTATAAAGCGCCGCAGGGGGGAGCGCCGGCGGGAGGAACAACACCTGGCAGGAGACCGCGCCCGCGCCCGAGAACCGCACCGCGCCCGAAGACCGCGCCGCGCACGCGCCCGAAGACCGCACAAAGACCGCGCCGCGCCGCCGACTCCGCCGCTACCTGACTGCCCTGCCACGCCCCTGCACGCGTGGCAGGTGTGCCCGGACGGGGTGGGGCGTCGGGTGGCCGGCGGCTACAAAGTGCTGCAGGGGGGAGTGCCGGCGGGAGGAACAACACCTGGCAGGAGACCGCGCCCGCGCCCGAGAACCGCACCGCGCCCGAAGACCGCGCCGCGCACGCGCCCGAAGACCGCGCGAAGACCGCGCCGCGCCGCCGACTCCGCCGCTACCTGACTGCCCTGCCACGCCCCTGCACGCGTGGCAGGCGTGCCCGGACGGGGTGGGGCGTCAGGCGGCCAGCGGCTACAAAGCACCAGCAGCGGCCGGGGCCGGCGGCCAAAGGGCGTCGGCCAAAGGGCGGTTTGCCGCCGTTTGGGGGGGCTGTTCGGGGGGGGCTAGGCTGGCCAGGGGACTTGCTCTTTTGTTGTGGCAGTCCCTTCTGTTGAACGGCCAATTTTAAATGTTTTATAATTTTAAAGTGTTTTAACTTGTTTTTATGGAGTCGTCCCTGGCCATGTTGCCGCCTGAGTTTCCTGGGGAGCGCACTGGCGCCGCCATTGGTGTGGTGATGGGCAATGGACGTAATAGCGGTGGGGGCTTAACGTGTCCGCATAGAAGAAGGAGGGACAGATGGCTGACACCTGTCCCTACTTCTGGTTTTGCTCCCAGCCAGAAGGTGCCAGGGAGTCTTGTCAGTCGCCCCTCGGGCCTGACGGTGCTGTTGTTTAATGCCAGGTCGGCCAATAACAAATCTGCCCTCATCCATGACTTGATTGTGGATGAGGGGGCCGACCTGGCCTGTATAACGGAGACCTGGGCGGGAGAGGGGGGGGATGTTGCCCTCTCTCAATTGTGCCCGCCCGGGT